CAGCAGGGTAGTAACGGATCGTGGGCCCGTGAGGGTAAGCGGGGGTACAGAATCGGTAGGAGAAGAGTAGTCGGGTCACACGCAGGGTCAGCAGGGAAGTCAATCCGTAGAATGGTCAGGGCAATCCGGGTCAAACGCAGGAGCAGGCAGAGTAGTCAGGACAATCCGGGTCAATCACAGGAGCAGGCAGAATAGTCAGGACAATCCGGGTCAATCACAGAAGCAGGCAGCGTAGTCAGGGTCAATCAGGGTCACTAGACGGGTACAGGAACTCGGGATCACAGGAAGACCTTGCGGCAATCTGTGACAGTGCAGGGCATCTTTAAATAGTGCGCCCTGCACTGTCATTTGCCGGCTAGAACGCGCCCCCGGCTGTCATTGGGCGCCTGAGGCGCGCCCCCGGCACCTACTGCGCATGCGCGGCGTCCTGTCAGCCGCGGCTCGCCGGGACCTAGTGCCTGTGTCCCGGCGCGATCTGCCGCCAATGCGCATGCGCGGGGGACAGAGCCGCGATCGCGGAGCATGGAGCCGCGATCCCTGACACAGAGTTATAAATGGCTTTATACGTTATTGTTAATGTTTTGAATTTTATCCGTTGGGCAACGGGAAGCCAGTGGAGGGATTGGCAGAGAGGGGTGGAGGACACTGAGTGGAGGCCAGTGGAGGGATTGGCAGAGAGGGGTGGAGGATACTGAGTGGAGACCAGTGGAGGGATTGGCAGAGAGGGGTGGAGGACACTGAGTGGAGGTCAGTGGACAGATTGGGAGAGAGGGATGGCAGATACAGAACGATTAGTAAGGTGGATGAGCCTGGCAGCAGCATTCATGATAGACTGAAGAGGGGATAGCCTGCGATGAGGTCGGCTAATGAGGAGGGAGTTGCAATAGTCAAGGCGAGATATAACAAGGGAGTGAATAAGTTGCTTAGTGGTTTCCGAGGTTAAGAACGGCCGTATCTTGGAGATGTTGCCGTGGTGAAGTCTTCAAGATTTGGACAGTGATTGGATTTGGGCTGAAAGGACAGATGGGAGTCTAGGATTACACCTAGTACCCTGGCATGAAGGGAGGAACTGATGATTGTGTTATTGATCTTGATGGAGAAGTCAGGGGAGGGGGCACGGGCTGGAGGGAATACTAAGAGCTCGGTTTTGGAAAGATTGAGTTTGAGGAAGTGGAGTGACATCCATGCCGATATGTCACTTAGTAGGTTAGTAATGTGAGAGGAGACTGAAGGGGTGAGGTGAGGGGTAGAAAGATAGATTTGTATGTCAGCAGCATAGAGATGGTACTTAAAGCCATGGGAGTTTATCAAGTGACCAAGGGAGGAGGTGTAGATGGAGAAGAGAAAGGGCTCAAGGACAGAACCTTGAGGGACCCCTACAGAAAGGAGTGAAGAGGAGGAGGAAGCGTTATAGGGAACACTGAAGGAGCGCTGCGATAGGTAGGAGGAGAACAAGGAGAGAGCAGAGTCTCTGAGGCCAAGAGAGTGGTGTTTTTTTGAGGAGGAAGGGATGGTCAACCGTATCAAAAGCCGCAGAGAGGTCAAGTAGTAAGAGTACGGAGTAGTGACCATTGGTTGGGATGAGTATGGTGTAGTGGCCATTGGTTGGGATGAGTACGGAGAGTGTCGCAAACGCGCGCATCAGAGAAGGACGCGGTTCAACCATTTTGGCTTCAACCTCCATCTTGGCAAAGAGATTAACCGTCCTAAAATATCTTTTTCCTTCATCCTCACCCTTCCTTTCTGTTCAACCACCATGACACCTGGTTGTGGGTCACTGGCAGGCTAGAGCAGCAGGGAGCCCAGAGCTAGAAAGCCCCCCTCAGGAGAGCTGGAGTCCCACTGTCCTGAGAACCTGTGTAATTTCACACCTCGTAAAAAGATAACTGAGCCTTCCCCAGAGTTCAAGGCATTCCCAAGAAGCCCACACCAGATAACATTTTTAAAAGATCAATTTTTCCTGTTTCATATCTTGGAATATATGAGAGACTTACATAAAAACCAGATATCTCGTCAGATTGGCTAGGAGCAGGCGAACAGTTTGATGGGTCATTCGAATTATCTCGGACCATCAGGGGAGCCGAAACATAAAACTTGTGAACCGTGCAACATATAATTTCATAATTCATATCTAATCCCTCAGACTTGTCTGCATAATGATATACCCGCGGGTGGAATGTCACTTGTGCAGCTGGAAAGTTATGGACCAGAATATGAATTATGAAAGATGTTGGCTCCAGTTTAGGGTTCCGCCTGACGATCCCTCCCTCAACAGGGGATTGTTTTTTTTACTTCAGAACCACCCCCTGCTGGGAAACTTTAAAGCACGCTGTCAAGCCTAAGGGGGTTGAGTTGAGGAATTCTCCCATTTTTCCATCGTAACATAGGGAGATCAAAGCACCCTCCTGCTTTGACTTGGATCTGCTAAACCCAGGACTTTGGCAAGTACTTCAACCCTTTCACCTCTCTCTGATATCTCTTTACTGTGCTATGGTTCTCTGTATATTTATATATATATATATATATATATATATATATATCTTAGTTACATCTTCTCTGTAAATATTTTATTGCACCTGTTTGAACCTTTTAGTAATGAATCTCTCTTTCTGAAAGTGTTGAACTGTTTCTATAGTTCTTCATTGCAATTTACGAATCCCTGCCTTGGAAGAGAAGCTACTGTTTGTTTAAACCTCTGTATAACCGGTCTGCGGACCGTTTTATACAGACGATTATTTCAATCATTATAGTGTTATAACTGATAACGCGAGTTTTCTCTTTCTCTGTACAAAAAGGAGGTGGTGGCAGTATGGAGGGTTAGTTGCGTAATTAACCCGACCCAGTAACAATCGCTCAGGTTGCAGGTACATAGAATGTAGTCCATTAGCTGGAAAATCTTTGTGCAGGGTGCAGCTGGGCGTGGTATTGTTACGCACATCACATCGCAGTTTGGATTGGCCAGTCCTTCGGTCACGAGTTCGGTGAGAAGGTCTGGGGTCTGACGCCGCGATCGTGACATATTGGTGGCAGCGATTGTGAGATTGTCGCACGTTGGTGGCGGCGATCTTGCGATTGTGACACGGAGTAGTGGCCATTGGTTGGGATGAGCACCGAGTAGTCTCCATTGGTTGGGATGAGTACGGAGTAGTGGCCATTGGTTGGGATGAGTACGGAGTAGTGGCCATTGGTTTTAGCTGTTAGTAGATCATTAGTGAGTTTTAGTAGGGCAGTTTTCAGTGGAGTGTAGTGAATGAAAGCCAGACTGTAAAGGGTGGAGAAGGTTGTTGTCGGTGAGGTGGGAGCTCAGGCAATTGTAGACTAAGCGTTCTAGGAGTTTAGAGGTAAATGGCAGCAGGGAGATGGGTCTTAAGTTGTTCAGGTTGGTGGGGTCCAGGGAGGGCTTTTTAAGTATGGGAGTGATGTGTGCATGCTTTAGAGGGGAGGGGAAGGCACCTGTAGAGAGGGAGAGATTGAAGATGTGAGTGAGGGAGCATAGGATGGAAGAAGAGGGTGACCGTAGTAGTTGTGAGGGGACAGGATCCAGGGGGCAGGTAGTGAGACGGGCTTCTGAGAAAACCTTAGTGACCTCTTCAGTAGTAGCAAGGTCAAAAGAGGAAAGTGTTGAGTATAAGAAATGCTAAGTGGGATGGATGTCTGTGCAGTGGCGATGCCCCTATGAATTGCGTCTATCTTGTATTTGAAATGATCTGCAATCTCGTGAGCAGTGAGTGAGGTACTGGGTGGAGGTGGATAAAGTAGAGAGTTAAAAGTAGAGAAGAGACGACGAGGACTGGATGACAAGGTATTAAGAAGAGTGACAAAGTAGACTTGTTTGGCACCATGAAGGGAGGACTTGTATCTTAAGAAAGCAGATTTATATCGGGTGAATGCTTAGTGGGATTTGGTTTTACAACACAATCGCTCCAGCGCACGACTATGTCGTTTAAGATTTCTGGTGTGGTCAGTCTGCCAGGGTTGTAATGGTCGGGGCCTGATGCTTCATGTTGTTAGAGGAGCAAGTGAGTCTAATGCGGATGAAAGCGAACTGTTGTAGACAGCAGTGGCCAGGTCAGGGCAGGACAGGGGAGAGATTCTGCCATAGAGTTGGTCAGTTGCAGAGTGGAAAGGAGCAGGGTTCAAGTTGTGAAGGTTTCTGCGGTTAATTGTTTGCCGCTTGGAGAGATAGGTGTTTGAAGACAAGGAGACTGAAGGTGATGAGATTGTGATCAGAGAGAGGAAAGGGGGTGTTTGTGAGGTTGTAGGGAGTGCAAAGATTGGAGAAAACAAGGTCTAATGTATTCCCATCAGAGTGAGTGGAGGACTGTATACATTGTGCTAATGCAAAAGATGAGGTTAGGTTGAAGAGTTGGGAAGTAGCCGGGTTGTTGACATTAATGGGGATATTAAAATCTCTGAGAATGATAGCAGGGAGTTCAGAGAAGAGAAAGTAGGGTAGCCAGGCAGAGAAATTATCAAGAAAGTTTTGCTGACTATGCCTCTGCCTGCCGCCTGGACCTATCCTTTGTTTGCTATGCCTCTGCCTGCTGCCTGGATCGATGGTCAGGAAGGGGTGATGGTGCCCGGTGGGCAGGAAGAGAGTGTGTGGAGGCGGCTTATGTCATTGGTAGAAAGGTGCTGACGTTGGAGTCCATATATATTAAAGACTCCGGCATAGTTATCCATTAGAATCGGCAGATCATAGATGGATTCGGTGGGAACATTTTTTTCGGAGGAGCCAAGCTGTGAGATCGCCATTTCTATTTATTCCACTGATTGGGGGAGAAGCTAAAACTTTACTGGTTTTTGAACAACTGACATTTTTACTTTTTTTTCCCCATTTCTCTCTATCAGATGGCGCTGATGTCAGGAATTCCTCGGAGAGACGTCTTCTATTACCTGCTGATTGGAAGTCAGAAGATAATGCCATCACACAGGATTCTCCAGGAGTGAATCCAAATACACCCAATATCCATCACAGACCTTCCTGTCCGGAGACATCAATGCATCCCTCTGATCAGGGGGAATCTTCTGACCAATCACATACTAGGAGTGCAAATGTCCATTTAGGATCTCACATTGCAGAGAGATCAACAGATCCATCTAATCCCGAGACAGCTTCCGCACCCCATGAAGGAGCTCACCGAGGGGACAATCTATTCTCATGTTCAGAGTGCGGGAAATGTTTCAATAAGAAAGGAAATTTAATTCAGCACCAGAGAGTTCACACGGGTGAGCGCCCCTATTCTTGTTCAGAGTGCGGGAAATCTTTCACCCAGAAAGGAAACCTGGTGCATCACAAGAAATTTCACACGGGGGAGCGCCCCTATTCATGTTCAGAGTGCGGGAAATCTTTCCATAAGAAAGATAATTTTCTTAGGCATCAGAGAATTCACACGGGTGAGCGTCCTTATTCATGTTCACAGTGCAGGAAAACTTTCACTCATAAAGAGGAACTTATGCAACATCATAAAATTCACAAGGGTGAGCGTCCCTATTCATGTTCAGTGTGCGGATATTCTTTTCTTAGGAAAAATCGTCTTGTTAGACATCAAAGAATACACACAGGTGAGCGTCCTTATTCATGTTCAGAGTGCGGGAAATCCTTCACTCAAAAAAGAGAACTTCTTAAGCATCAGAGAGTACACACAGGAGAGCGTCCTTATTCATGTTCAGAGTGCAGGAAATCTTTTCTTCGGAAAGGAGGCCTTGTTAGACATCAGCGAGTTCACACAGGGGAGCGTCCTTATTCATGTTCAGAGTGCGAAAAATCTTTCACTCAAAAAGCAGGCCTTCTTAAACATCAGAGGGTTCACACGGGTGAGCATCCTTATTTGTGTTCAGAGTGCGGGAAATCTTTCAGTCATAAAGAAAACCTGGTTAAACATCTGAGAATTCACATTGGCGAGCATCCTTTTTCATGTTTGCAGTGCGGGAAAGTTTTCACTCAGAAAGGGAACCTTGTACAGCATCAAAGATTTCACACAGGTGAGCATCCTTATTCATGCTCAGAGTGCGGGAAATCTTTCACTCAGAAAGGAGACCTTGTTAAACATCAGAGAATTCACACAGGTGGTGAGCGTCCTTATTTATGTTCAGAGTGCGGGAAATCTTTCTCTTATAAAGGAGACCTTGTCCTGCATCAGAGAATCCACACTGGGAAACGACCTTATAGTTGTTCAGAGTGCGGGAAATCTTTCACCTGTAAAGGTGGCCTTGTTAAACACCAGAGAATTCATATGGGTGAACGTCCTTATTCATGCTCAGAGTGTGGGAAATGTTTCATTCATAAAGGAGACCTTGTTAAACATCAAAAAATTCACACGGGTGAGCATCCATATTCATGTTCAGAGTGCGGGAAATCTTTCTCTTATAAAGGAGACCTTGTCCTGCATCAGAGAATCCACACTGGTAAACGACCTTATAGTTGTTCAGAGTGCGGGAAATCTTTCACCTATAAAGGTGGCCTTGTTAAACACCAGAGAGAATTCACACAGGTGAACGTCCTTATTCATGTTCAGAGTGCAGGAAATCTTTTATTTGTAAAGGAGAGCTTGTTAAACATCAGAGAATTCACACGGGTGAGCGTCCTTATTCATGTTCAGAGTGCGGGAAATCTTTCACTCATAAAAGAGTCCTTGTTCAGCATCAAAGAATTCACACCGGTGAGCATCCTTACTCATGTTCAGAGTGTGGGAAATCTTTCACTCATAAAGGAGGCCTTGTTTTTCATCAGAGAATTCATACGGGTGAGCGTCCTTATTCATGTTCAGAGTGCGGGAAATCCTTCACTCATAAAGGAGACCTTATTAAACATCAGAGAATTCACACGGGTGAGCGTCCTTATTCATGTTCAGAGTGTGGGAAATCCTTCACTCATAAAAGAGGACTTGTTAAACATCAGAGAATTCACACAGGTGAACGTCCTTATTCATGTTCAGAGTGCGGGAAATCTTTCATTCAGAAAGGAGTCCTTGTTAAACATCAGAGAATTCACATGGGTGAACGTCCTTATTCATGTTCAGAGTGCGGGAAATCCTTCCTTAGGAAAGATAGTCTTATTGAACATCAGAGAATTCACACGGGTGAATATCCTTATTCATGTTTCAAGTGTGGGAAATCTTTCACTAGAAAAGGAAATCTTGTACAACACCAGAGAATTCACATGAGTGAGTGTCCATATTTATGTTCTTAGTGTGGGAAATCTTTCTATATGAAAGGTAATCTTGGTAAACACCAGAAAATGCAGTGTAGTGTGGGTGGTGGGGGGAGGAGAGCTGTCGGAGAATGTAGTGTGGATGGTGGGGGGAGCAGAGCTGTCGGAGAATGTAGTGTGGATGGTGGGGGGAGGAGAGCTGTCGGAGAATGTAGTGTGGATGGTGGGTGGAGGAGAGCTGTCGGAGAATGTAGTGTGGATGGTGAGGGGAGGAGAGCTGTCGGAGAATGTAGTGTGGATGGTGGGTGGAGGAGAGCTATCAGAGAATGTAGTGTGTATGGTGGGGAGGAGAGCTGTCGGAGAATGTAGTGTGGATGGTGGGGGGAGGAGAGCTGTCAGAGAATGTAGTGTGGATGGTGGAGGAGAGCTGTCAGAGAATGTAGTGTGGATGTTGGGGGGAGGAGAGCTGTCAGAGAATGTAGTGTGGATGTTGGGGGGAGGAGAGCTGTCGGAGAATGTAGTGTGGATGGTGGGGGGAGGAGAGCTGTCGGAGAATGTAGTGTGGATGGTGGGGGGAGGAGAGCTGTCGGAGAATGTAGTGTGGATGGTGGAGGAGAGCTGTCAGAGAATGTAGTGTGGATGGTGGGGGAGGAGAGCTGTCGGAGAATGTAGTGTGGATGGTGGGGGGAGGAGAGCTGTCGGAGAATGTAGTGTGGATGGTGGGTGGAGGAGAGCTATCAGAGAATGTAGTGTGGATGGTGGGGGAGGAGAGCTGTCGGAGAATGTAGTGTGGATGGTGGGGGGAGGAGAGCTGTCGGAGAATGTAGTGTGGATGGTGGAGGAGAGCTGTCAGAGAATGTAGTGTGGATGGTGGGAGGAGGAGAGCTGTCGGAGAATGTAGTGTGGATGGTGGGGGGAGGAGAGCTGTCGGAGAATGTAGTGTGGATGGTGAGGGGAGGAGAGCTGTCGGAGAATGTAGTGTGGATGGTGGGTGGAGGAGAGCTATCAGAGAATGTAGTGTGTATGGTGGGGAGGAGAGCTGTCGGAGAATGTAGTGTGGATGGTGGAGGAGATCTGTCAGAGAATGTAGTGTGGATGGTGGGGGAGGATGTAGAAATTATCCTGCCTATGTAACGCCCCTTGTTACCAGAAAAGGACAATTGTAATAGTAATGTGATCCTTATGTATCCATGTATATAAAAAATTCAAATGCATTGAATAAATACCAGTGATTTGGAAAGATGCTGAGTGTATCTTTTTGTGTCTGTTCCCTACTGCAGTAGTTAATAATTTGGAACCCACTAATGAAAATGAGGATAGGAGTTACCTATCTACATGGCTCAACAAAATGAAAGGCAGACTTTGTAATCTGAGTCTGGCATCAAGCCAATGACACTCCTGGGATATGGATCTGGTCATGTAAGTCGCAGAGGGGGTTGTTCCTCAGTTTCAGCTGCTTTGGTGTTCATGAAATTAACAAGTGCAATAGATGGGCAGCAATGAGACGACCCCCAAAACAGGAATGGTTTTACAGGTGGAGGTCACTGACATTTTTTTCCCTACTTATCTTTTCTGATTATTTTTCCCTCGTTTTGCATTTGGCTGGGGTCAGTGTCACTGCTGGTAGCATGAGGCCATACCCGGACCCTACAGAGGTCGCACAGGCAGTCCAACTCCTCCAGGGTGGCACATCAATATGTCCCATTGCCAGAAGGTTTGCTGTGTCACCCAGCAGAGTCTCAAGAGCATGGAGGAGATTCCAGGAGACAGGCAGTTACTCTAGGAGAGTTGGACAGGGCTGTAGAAGGTCCTTAACCCATCAGCAGGACCAATATCTGCTCCTTTGTGCAAGGAGGAACAGAATGAGCCCTGCCAGAGCCCTACAAAATGACCTCCAGCAGGTCACTGGTGTGAATGTCTCTGACCAATCAGAAACAGACTTCATGAAGGTGGCCTGAGGGTTTGACCTCCTCTAGTGAGCCCTCTGCTCACTGCCCGGCAACATAGAGCTGGATTGGCATTTGCCATTGAACACCAGAATTGGCAGGTCCACCACTGGCACCCTGTGCTTTTCACAGATGAGAGCAGGTTCACTCTGAGCACATGTGACAGAAGTGAAAGGGTCTGGAGAAGCCGTGGAGAATGTTCTACTGCCTGTAACATGGTTCAGCATGACCGTTTTGGTGGTGGGAGGCATATCCATGGAGGGATGCACAGACCTCTATAGGCTAGACAATGGCACCCTGCCTGCCATTAGGTATCGGGATGAAATCCTTGGACCCATTGTCAGACCCTTTGCTGGTGCGGTGGGTCCTGGGTTCCTCCTGGTGCGGTGGGTCCTAGGCTCCTCCTGGTGCAGTGGGTTCTAGGTTCCTCCTGGTGCGGTGAGTCCTGGGTTCCTCCTGGTGCAGTGGGTTCTAGGTTCCTCCTGGTGTGGTGAGTCCTGGGTTCCTCCTGGTACGGTGGGTCCCAGGTTCCTCCTGGTGCAGACAATGCCCAGCCTCATGTGGGGAGAGTATGCAGGCAGTTCCTGGAGGATAAGGAATTTATAACATTGAATGGCCCCCACGCTCGCCTGACCTAAATCCAATAGAACTCCTCTGGGATGTCATGTTTCAGTCCATCTGACGCTGCCAGGTTGCACCTCGACTGTCCAGGAGCTCAGTGATGCCCTGGTCCAGATCTGGGAGGAAATCCCCCAGGACACCATCCATGGTCTCATTAGGAGCCTCCCCCGACGTTGTCAGGCATGCATACAAGCACGTGGGGGCCATACAAACTACTGAGGACCATTCTGAATTACTGCAATGACATTTCAGCCAAATGGACTCGTCTTCTGCATCATTTCTTCACTTTGATTTTCGGGGTGTCTTTGAATTCAGTCCTCTGTAGGTCGATCATTTTCATTTCCATCAAAAGATGGGGCGCCCTTACATTCCTCACCCATCACCCCGTCCATGTCAGTATAGAGATCCAGCAGGAGATTCCTACCCATTGAGATCTGATGGGTTTTCCGTCTTCCTTACATTGTTTTGAGCCATGTATATTGAGTGGAACAAAAAGACAATTCATGGTGAGACAGGAAGAGCCTGAGTGTGCAGATACAGTAAGTGAGCCTATAAATGGGGAGGAAGTAGTGTCAGGTGCAGGCAGGAAGTGAGGTCACTTAGAAACAGGAAGTGATGTCAGGTATAAATTGGAAGTTCTGGATGAGAGGTGAGTCCTGAGGAAGTAGAGAGGAGATATTGTTGGAACTGGCAGCAGAGGAGGTAATAAGATTATTATTATTATTATTACTACGAGTTTATATAGCGCCAAAGGGTTTGCTCAGCGCTGTACAATAGGGGGGACAATACATGGCACAATAGGGGGGACAATACATGTATCTCTAACAGATGCAGATATACACATATATACTGAATATAATATACAATAATCAATACAGAGATAGGGATGTACTAATCTGCATATTGGGATGATTCGCTGCAATGCTCCCTAGAAATATCACCTATATACTGTACAAAGATATAGATTCCCCTCTATGGAAGCTGGATGTCTCCATAAATAGAACTCCAATAACCTAACAATAATGTTCAATAGAAAATAATTAAAAAACATTATTGAAAAACATACATAAAAGTGTTTTATGTTTTGCCTTTTTACAGTTTTGGGTATTGAATTTTGTTTTTTTAGTTTTTCAGGCACTTGTGGGTTTCGTATTCATTAACACAACACAGACACGGATGTAAACCTTCCTCACTTTTGGGCGGAGGGTTTAAAATGAATCTCTGAATATTGTCCATGAATTATAATGACCAGAGAAGGTGCTATATGATCTGTCTACAGAGATCAGGGTCTATCCAACTGTCCATCCAGAACCTCTGGTTTATAGACAGGATATGTCCTAAATATAGAACCATTTATCCAACCGTCCATCCAGAGCCTCTGGTTTATAGACCGGATACGTCCTAAATATAGAGCCATTTATCCAACCGTCCATCCAGAGCCTCTGGTTTATAGACTGGATACGTCCTAAATATAGAACCATTTATCCAACTGTCCATCCAGAGCCTCTGGTTTATAGACCGGATACCTCCTGTAGCAATATGTTATATGCTGTGTATGGCCTCTAGGGGTCTCACTACTTAGATACTGGTACAACTGTGTTATTGCCTCTCTTTGGTTGTAGTTCTAAGGCAGACACATGTATAATGGCAGCTAGGAGTACCTAATAAAATGTCTCCTACTAACTACAGTGTGTGAGCATCTGAGCAGGATCGACTAACAGAACGTGGTGGCAGCTGGGCACTGGACCTCTGAATAGCAAGTCTTCTGTCTACAAATACAGATTGTGTGACACTAGAACTGTACAGAGAATCAGCAACTGTAAGTACAGAGTCCCTATCAGACTGCACTATGGAGAGTGGCCTGAAACCCCCTCAGAGACTGGATGTCACTTCTTCCAATCTCTCACAGACATGGAGACACTGGAAGGAAGAGTTTACTTTGTATGTGGACCTGACAGTGGCACCCAGAGATGAGCAGAGGGAAGTAAAGCTGTTTTATTACTTGATTGGGGAAAAAGGCAGAGAACTATCAGAGACCCTGCTCACAGACAGCATGGCACTGACAGACATACTGCAAGCATTTGATAAGCACTGTGACCCCAAAAAGAATGAGACAGTGAAGAGATACAAGTTCTTCTCAAGGAATCAGGAGATTGGGGACAGTGTGGACAGATATGTGACAGAGCTGAGGAGACTGGCTGCAACCTGTGGATTTGGGGACATCAGGGACTCCCTTATCCAAGACAGGATAGTGTGTGGCATCAGAGACTCTCACCTCAGAGAAAGATTACTGAGGGAGGAAGAGCTGGCTTTGGAGAAATGTATACAGACCTGCACAGCGGAAGATAAAACTCTACAGATC